GCACCCACTGAGAATCAAACTCATTACTCAGTAGTAATTGATCTAGCAATAGAAGGTTGCCAACCATTATACCACGTCTTTTAAAAAATATTTTTTCGAATCGTATTGTTTAGATTATTGCGTTTCAAGTCATTTCATAGTAGCATCCAGTGATGATCTGTCATCATAAAATAAAAACTATACAGCAAAATAGAAGATTAAACATTACTCAACATCCATAGGACTATTTACGTAATGACTGGGCATAGCTTAGTTCTAGCAGATGTCGACAAGTGTAAAGACTTCAATTAGAATCGAAATCCCTACTCATCTGCGGGTCTAGCTCGCTAAAATTAACTGCACATGGAAGTGGCATTTCTTTTGATAAAATTCGAATTAGTTGTTTCCACACATGCCTACTAGTATGCGACAAACCGGTGGAGATTGAACTAGCTACACAGAAGTGATCACCAGCCAAACTAATTCTCTAGCCATTACTGCCCAGAGGCGTATATTTTTATCGAAGAATAGATTAGTTTGGCCTAAGGCCACTATTCTAGAACAGCGAGTGGGGTTCCAACTAACCTAATGACAATTTTGTGGAATCTGCAACCTAAGAGAAGCTTCTTTTTTTTTTTTTTTTTTTTTTTACAAAGCTAAGAGTGAACGTGTTATGGTCCGGTTCCTTGTACCACAGTGATAGTCCAAGGTAGAATCAATAAAGAAGAACTCGAATACGGATATGGAATAACACAGATATATTACAAACAGGAATATATACAGAGAAGTAGAAAGTGTTAGTACGAACAATCAGATTTAGTAGTAATTGTCTGAACGCGACTCTGTTTCGGACTGCCTCTGACTCGACTGACTCGCTCGCTCTGACTGACTGACGGACTCCTGATGCACTTCACTCCAGACTTCAGACTGAACTCCCTGCTTCCTCATTGAGGCGCAGTATTTATTACGTATGGAATAGTCCATTATGTTATTATGGGTAAGGTCCCATAACAGAACGTCACGATATTGAGTCACCCCCCCACGAGGGTGTCATGTGGCACAAGGCCTTTTTAACGTGGGAATTCCCGAGCCATTCCGAACGTCACACTATTATGATTACATTCACTAATAACAATCTGTAACTATGACCGCAGCTTCAAGCCTGCTCAGTACCTAGAAGGGCCACAACTGTAAGTTTGGATGTGCGAGTGGTGTAATGGATAATGGCTCTGAATTGTTAATCGACGAAGAGAGTTCTAATTCCAGTTGGGTTCGTTATATTCACTTACGCACAAATACCCTTGGGAAAGGTATGAATCAACCTCTTCCCCCCTACAGCTATGTGTTAATTATTAAGACTTGTAGCACTAAACCATTACTTTTTTAAAAAAAAGTCTTACAATCTAAAAAAAAATGTCTGGCTTTCTATAACTTGCAAAGAGTTGATAAGCCATAGAAAACTAATCCATCAATCATTGTAACTATGCTATGAAACATCAACATGGTTTTTATTGAACGAGAGATGAAAAAAACTAACTCAGTCTAAAATACTTTCAATCAACACGCTTTAACAAAGACGTCGTGTCATTTTTTATTGCTTTTTTTTCCCTTTCACAGAGTATATATTTAGCTTTCTAATTATTTACATTCACTCATATAACAGACATTCATCATTGTATTTTACTGATTATCATGATGTTGCTTGTCGTCTCTGGTAAATAACAATCTATCAGCAGTTCCTCAGTAGGGGCCGCAACGCTGCATCAACAAAACAAATCAATGACAGACATTTTTTCTAAAGCTTCGTTTTCCTCGTTTTCTTTTGATGTGGGGACGTAGTAGATATAGTTTCTCGGAGAGAGAAAGAGAGAGAGAAAGAGAGAGTGAATGGATATCATCAAATCGTTCATAGGGAGCGCAATGTAATATGGGAGAGGAAAGTACAAAAGAACATCACAGTTCTTCATTACTCGGGTGACTCAAAATTACGGCTAGTTTTCTTGACTTTTTCAGTTTTATAGCAACTCTTGGAGATAAGACGATCAACGACTCTCGGTGTTTGCTAATTTCGGCTTGTTTCGGACTAAAGTTCAGACAAGCATTTAGAATTTTTGTCTAGACTAATCATCACTGTTAATGAAATATTTATATTTATTCAAGATCACCAATGTGCCAAAGGAAGACGACATATAGAAGAATAATCATTAAACTGCAAAGCAGCAACTGAGGAAAAGCTTACACGCAGCATCCTGGCGATGTATTTTCACATTGTCTGCTTCACACATGAGAAACGGAATGTGTTATATGGGAATAAAGTGTCACTGCCGACACTTGAGCTTGAAAATACATCGCAAATGAGGTGATCTCATTATTGAATTAAGTGGATCATGGGACCATAGGGGAAAACGCATATGAAGTAGCGTGACGACTAAACATTCGCCATTTCCAGTTTATCCTCTATTACTATACGGAGCGCTGTTTCTACTCTATCTCCTATTACTATTGTTATGAGACCTACCTTTATATACTAATTAGACTCGTCCTTTACTATATATACGGGCATATTATGCCTCTCAAGAGAGCTGTCTACAATCGACCCGCAGTCTCTGATTGTGTACGTCTTCTGTGTACGACTTCTGTCGAACTCTCTGCTTTGGCAGAGAGGTACCCCCACGAAGCTTTGCCGAAGTGCAAAGTTTCATCCGGCTAGGTAGACAGGCCCTGAACCCGTCTAGGCGTGTTCAAAGGGTTTATTTTTGGCCAAGCCTACGGGCTCCGAGAAACCCCCATTAAATTCGGCCTTGTGCCACGTACATTCCTCGTGGGGGGACTGTTAAATATTGATGTCTAGTGTTGACCTGTTACAACTATCAGTCGAACACTCTGCCTTCGAGCGGAGAGGAACGCGGACAAGGCTCCGCCGAAGGGGACAGTCTTGTTCGGGGAGGTTGATTGCCCCTGAACCGGTTTATGTCGGTTCAAAGAGGGATTAGTTTCGGCCGAGCCTACGGGCTTGGAGATCCCACGTTAAACCGGCCTTGTACCACATGTAACCCTCGTGGGGGGTAACTAAATATCGCTGTCTACAATTGACAAGTTGACTACTGTACTTTGCCGTCAGTCGGACGTGCAACCATTTTGTATTCGTTCTTTTTGTTAATAATACGTTTTAACACTGAATTGGTGAGTTCGAGTTTTCTTTCGGACCTATTCTGGGTCCACAACAACTATACAGAACGTTATTCTCTAGTCTGCTCACTATTTCTCTATTCGGATCACTATACAGATTATTATTATTCGAGCGAACATTATCGAGCAAATACTATTAGTGTGTTTGCTATTCCAAGGCGTCTGACACCAGTATCATTCAACAGCGTAGTATAGTTGTATCTGCTATTACGAAGTCACCAATACAACGAGCATTAGGAAAGTTACAAAAATTATTCGTTGGCATTGCAAAAGTGGCAACGAATGTTCATTGACATCAGAGAAGTATCGACAACGATTTGAAAGGATTCCAGAGAATTCTTTGAACTTACACAAATACTCGTAAGAAATTCAGCCGGGTACATCACAATAGAAAAACTAAAAGCTATCATGGTTCAAATGTTGGCGCTACAAAAGTAACAAGAACAACGGTTTATGCAACAAAAATTACAACCACAAAATTTGCAGCAACAAAATCGACAACATGAACAGCAATTACAATTACAATACAAAATAATTTTTTTTGAGTTTTTACCAAAACAGTTGAAAGAAAAACTTCAGATTCTTTCACTCCAGATGCTGTTGCTAATTTAATCATCGAATTTGTGTACAATCCAGACGAAGGGATAACTTTTCCAGCTTATTATAGAAGATACAAAAGGATCACCAAAAGGGATTGTTCCCATTGGAATGTTGAAAAGAAAGTTCAGTTATTAAGGAAACTGTACCCTACTGAACATGAAAAATTATATTATGCCAAAAAACCAGGAGAGATAAATTTTGATGGTTACTTCGTCCACTAGTACTTGTAGGTAATGATCTGCCGGTGTTACATTCACCGACATTTCAGCCAAAAAGGAGTGTACATTTTGCGGCCTTAGATCCATTTAAGAAGAACAATTAGGTGTGATCTCAAAAATAGACTATTCCGAATGGGCATCACCAGCAGTCTACATTAAAAAGAAGAAGAAGAAAATCCGTGTATATGATAATTTTTCAACGGGGTTAAATGAAAGTTTAAAACAATATAACTACCCGTTACCATTTCCATAAGAATTTTTGGCCAAATTAAAAGGTGGCAAAATTTTTGTAAATTGAACCTTTCAGATCATTACCTACACGTACTAGTGGACGAAGTATTATTTTCGTATTACTTTAAACACGGATAGAACGTATTCCTTATCAGAAATGGACATTACGTATATATATATATATATATATATATATAGTGCGTTAATCTAATAAAATCACAATATCTCTAAGCACTCCTTCAAAGAATTAAAGATTCCTATTGTTCTGAAGTGCCTGTTTTCTGTTTCATTCAGCAAATTTTTAAAGATGGAAAAATCAGACATATACGAATAAAAGAATCATTTTATTTTTTAGTTTACATATCAATTCCCCATAATTATTTTATTTTGTTAAGATTTCAATTGATTTTTTTTTATTTCTTTACCAATAAACTTAACTTAAAAAACTATAAATCAAAATAATAAAAACAAAACTCACGGAATTATCTTTATTTTTGGTAATAGTGGAGAAGGATTGATTTTTTTAAGGCTTATCAACCCTTTGAAAGTTTTTTAAAGCAAGAATTTTTTTTTTTGCTTTTAAGATTTTGGTGGGGAGAAATAATAGTGACTTTCTGATAAAATTCCTACTAACTGACCCATAACTGTGGGGGGGGGGAGAAGAGGTGTATTCATACCTTTACTAAGAGCATTTTTTTTCGGAAGTGAATATAACAAACCCGACTGGAATTGGAACTTAGCTTTCCAAATTTCAGTCCCTTTACACCACCCGCGCATCCAATCATACGGCAGCTGGCATTCCCAAACGGTCACCCATCTAGATACTGATCAGGCTTAATGTTGCGTAACTTCGGCGATCGTACGAAAACCGGTTCTTCAAAGTTATATGGCCTTAAGCAAGTATTAGCAGAAAAAGCAAAACTCCAACGATTCACTGTTTGATAATTTTTGTTTAATTAGACGTAGAAGGAAGAAAAATAAAAGAAGTCGAACGAGAAATAACATTTTCCTGATTCAAATTGTCTGGATCGTAAAAGGGTTAATGGTTGCCTTTATTAAAATGGCCTGAGTCGAAAAAGAAACGGCTTCCTTATTTTAAATTGTGTAGATCAAACGAAAGAAAAGGCTTCATTATTCCAACTCTGCACGCTTCAAATACTGGTTACAACGCTACCACCTATGCTTGATTTTCCGAAGACGAGAAATGCAGAGCATCAATCGATTAATTGAGAGAAATATTCGCTTGTTGTTTTAGACTGATGAACTAAAATATGCACACTTCTCTTTAAGGTTTCTCTTCCACATGTGGCCAGAAAACAGGTCGCATCCAGACTGTCGCATACTCTGCATGACACATACATTTGGCTAGGAACCATTCCAGCAGTGATGATGACATCCAATCTTTTGCTGATGACATTTCTAACTGTTGTGGATTCCTGGACGAAATCCGATCTCAAATGAATGACAAACGCAGGAATGAAATATAGCAAATAAATGTATTGACGTAATAATACAATTGGTAATACGGCTAGTAGATCCAGAAATGCGGTTAGTAGCAATAATAATATATATATACAGTCTGGGAAATTCAGTATAGAAGTATGCCTTCTTTCTGAGTCTACATGCTCGCAACTGTGACTCCTACAAAGCGGTTACCTCACACTTTCACTCTTTCACTGTATCACTCTCTGGGTATTCACCGGCAGCAGTACAAGTACACACTGGCCGAGTCCACTTGTATAAAGAGGGGTGGACCCCTTAACACTAACCAACAGGATGAATAGTATTTTTCAACAGTCAGATGTCAGCTTAACTGAGAGGAAAGAATGCATTTATTAATAAGAAGAGCTGAAATGAAAGCCGGCAAGGTTAGTCTATGAATCATTCATCCTACTCTCGTATAGAGGTGTTCTTTGAGATCTAATACATTGACGTTTGAGCGAAAATCCGTTAATATCTGCGGGTTACGTCGTGGAGATTGTAATCACTTGTTGGTCAATAAAATGCAAACGTCACGAGGATCAAGAGAATTTCGTTACTGGGACATCAACATGAATTTTCTTCATGTTCTTCCAAACATTCCCGCAAGTGGAATATAATTACGATTAGATTTTAGCATTATACATATCTTTTTAGTAACCGAAGCGGAGTTCCAATTTAATCAAGCTTCGCTGCATTTAATTAAGATATGAATCTACACCTCTCTCTCTCTCTCTCTCTCACACACACACACACACACACACACACACACAACAGCTACGAGTTAAATGGACAGGCAAACCCGGATCTATCGCCTTGATTGGTAACCAGTCTACATCAGAAAGTAACGGCATGTTTTCTCCGGAATTCTTTAAAAATTAAACCAGGAAGTGAAAAGAAAAGTTAGGATGGCTCGAGCGTAAATCACATATAAACACACTAAGGATGTCGAAACTATATAGGGTCCACTGAGAATCTCACTATTCAGTTGTAATTGATCTTAATCATAGAATATATAGTGACATAGCCAAGAATAAAGGAATATAGAGAAATTAAGAACACTTCTATATTTCTATAGTATAATACCAAAAGTGATGGAATACCAGTATATGAATGTAACCACTTATCAATGGATAACTGAATTACATAGCCGACAAGCAAATCAGATTTTATTTATACAACAACTTTAACAATAAGCACAGTCATAAACAATATTGTCAATAGCGTTATTAACATATATTACCGAAATCAAATATACCACAATTACAAAAAATGACGAACCGCAATAAAAATCATTATACATATAAAAAATCCAATCGATAATAACAAATACGTCATGTTTCTTATTTACTACAAACAATTCAAAACAAACAACCAAGTTATTAAAAATAATGCAACTCAAAGTTCCAAAGCCCATAAACAAGACAAATATTGCGTTTCACTTTACTTGCCAACTCGAAGAATGTTTCTCAGCAAATAAAAACACAAAACGTCTTAGATAGGATATACCACCACCACATCTCACGGACACTCACTAACCTGTCACTTATCGGACCAGGATGCCAGCGGACAATACATAAATAGACAGCACAGGGATCATAGTAATATTAGACAGAGACTCGCAAACTATACCAACATATTAGAGAAATCAAATAGTAAAAACAGACTTATGAATAATGTTCTAGAAGGTTCTAGAAATTTCTAGAAGGATCCAGTAATTTCTAGAACCTTTTAAAAGGTTACAGGAAGATATAGAAGTCTAATGCTATAATTATATACGACGTAAAATTAACTCTGTTAGAGTTCGATGGCCTTAAAAATTGCCTCCTTATATATAAATATATAATTTACGAGAAGGCATGAGACAAAATCAAACCTCCACTATCCTACGTAAATAATGCATCAGTTTTGGGGATCTTTCGAAGTCTATAACTGTTAACCCTATTTCTGTACAGAAAACTTAAGCAAAGCCATTTGAAGTGTTTAAAAATTTTCAAATCTGACATAATTTTATGTGTGTGTGTGTGTGTGTTTTACTAGAAATATTATGTTTAGTGGGTAAACGTGTTTGAATAAGCATTTTCTATTGTATACCGAAAAATTATCGTCTATCAGCCTTTAGTGTTCATGAAGATAATATGCTTCCCGAGAGGAACTGAAACTCTGCTCCCTTTTTTTTATCTTGAAAACCTTTTCAGGCAAAGCCCGCTTTACCGTTAACCTGCGATAAGCCGTTATATTAAAAAAAAAAAAAAAAACTTTAACCAACTCTACTTAAAATCAGACTCGTATTTTGCTCTTTACTTATTACATGAACGCTGTGTTTTTGTTATTATTATAATTTATAATAATGATAATAATATAGTAATTATTATTATTATTATTATTATTATTATTATTATTATTATTATTATTATTTTGACTGGGTAGTATTTTCGGACTGCAAAAGAGAATAGACTGCAATGGTATTTTCAACACATTTTTCTCTCATGTCAAATTTATCAATTACCAAATTAGAACGTATTGCTCTTATGTTCGGCGTATGGTACCTTCAGCATCTTTCTGTTGAACCATATTTCTGTTGCTTCAATTCCCTTCTTCCTTATGTTTGAGAAGTTTGTCCAGCATTTACTTCTATACAGGAGAACAGATATCACAAAAATGTTCGGTCCCCTTTTCTTTTATTTCTAACGAAACTTTTATGTCTGTTAATACTCTGCTTAACTTTTGAGAGGCTATTTCGGCCATCCCAATACATCTTCGAGTCTTAGTGTCGCAGTATCCGCCCTATGTTAAAACACTTCCCAAATATTTAAATATATGTACTTGGTTGATTTTAGTATCCCCGATTTGTAATTTGCATCTTGCTGATAACCATGAAATTTGTCTTGTAGTTTAAACATCGTCTCTCTTTTCGTATTCTTTTGCTACCTTTTGTAGGAGCGTTTGTAATTTTTTTCCGTGTCGTGATATCAACATATCTTATATTTTTAAGATTGAGGCCGCCAACAATCCTGTTAGAACTTCTAATTCTCTCAGAATTGTCGAGTTGTATAGGTTGAATAAATCCGATGAGAAGACACATCCATGTCTTACGCCCCGTTCTATTTTTGCATATCTGATGAACTCATTTAACACTATACCATACAAACTAGAGCGTGCCCCGTTTTTAGATGCAATACTCTCTAGTTTAGAATTAAGTTACAAATAAGACTCCAATCTGGAATCAGACACGTAATTTTGGTGCATAATATTTTCAGTGTGATGTTGCAATAGCTAATATTTTGAGAAACGAGAACAATATTAAATTAGAAATATTAAATTTAATATTTTTGACTCGATCTCCGAATACTCTCAGAAAATAACAGTTATTTGGTCTTAGACTAGAGTCATTGCTTGGAGCCTGAGGGTCCCCAAATGGGCCTGAGCAATTTTTCTCCCTACTCCATGTACGCGTGGCCCAATACTCGCTCGAACTTGTACGCGGTCGGGTGCCACACATTAAGACGGACTTTGTGTCACATCACGATGCCGTGGAGAGAAGGGTTTTTACTTCCTCGAGCTTGTGTTACATTTCGCTTCCCTAGGCATGAGAATACATAAACTTTTCTTATGAATTGCAAATAAGAAAGTAGCTTTCAATTTCTTTCTGCAAATCACATAAATAAATTTAACTATGAACTTTCGTACACGACAATGGCCTCAACTTCATCGATGTTTCAACCATAAATGGCTGGAACATCATGATTTGTACATCTTTACACCAGTTTTGTATGAATTTGTACGTCTTTACACCAGTTTTCGAGGAACTTGACTAATTGGTCACGAGGGAGTAATTCCGAATGTTTCGATAAATGCTTCGATGATTTTTCTTAAATATCCTCAATATCTTGGCACCTGAATAAACAAGGAATTCCTTAGAGTATAAAATATTCCGTATCCGGGATTTTGCAAAAAAAAGATAGATTTTATTAGTGTGAGTCAAAATTATGTTAACACTAGTAGGAGAAGAATCATTTATTCAGAGTTTACTGAACAGTCTCCACTTGTCCACCAGCACGATTGATGCACTTCTGGTTATGGGATATGGTATACAGTCACCTGTATAGCAAACAAATTGCAGACATCGAAAAACTCAAGGACAGAATAAAAGGTGTAATATCAAATATTCCCCCTGAAATGTGTGTGAAGGCACTAAATTGTAATGTTGATCGTTGGTTTTTGTACATATGTCGTTTGGCAGGCGGAGAAGGTTCAATGAACTCTGAATAAATGATTTATCTCATACTGATGTTAACCTTAATTCTGACTCATCCTCACATACTAGTGTTAACATAATTTTGACACGCCCTGTATTAAAAATTTTATTTTAGGAAAATCTATGACAAAGCAGAAAATCATTCATTTGACGCG